CTTTTTGAAAAATGTTGACCAGAATGCAGTGGCTTTAATTGACTCTGTGACCAATGTTAAGTCATTTCAACAAAATTTACCAGATGTAGTAATCACGAAAATAGATGATATAGAAACGATTCAAAATACAATTCATAGTCTAAGGATCTACATTACTGGTGAAACTGATATATCACGAGAGAAATTTAATACTTTGTGCAAGAAGAATTTAGATTTTCAGTTTCATCACTTTAAATATTTGGACGATCATCGTTTGGAGTGGCTAAGAAGTGAGAATTGTGAGTGTTTCGAAAAACTTGAGAATTTCCGGCGACAAACAGAATTCTTGGAAGTCATGGACCAACGACAATATTTTAGTAAATCGGGGCAAAATATTAACATTATTTGTGCAGATCCTGGTATGGGGAAAAGCACGTTAATGAAGAGCTTGAAAAGTGTCAGTTTTTCGTCGAAGTGGATCATTTTAATCTACGCAAGGAATCATCCTTACCACTTTAGAAAAAATAAATCAGATATGGACAAGTTTTTGAAATATCTGCTGAAAATTACTTGTAAGAAGTACTCAAACCCATTGCACCAAATAGTTTTTAAGACAATGTTGGAGCAGAATCGAATAGAAGTCGCGTGGGACGGACTGGATGAAGCGTCTGATGCAACCCAAATTTCGGTTTTAAGCTTAGTGAAAACTTTTTCGGAAAGAAACGTGAAACAGTGGGTAACTTCTCGAAATAACTTGAAAAGTGTGTTAGAAAACACACTTGCTACGTTTTCACGAAGTATAAAGGAGTTTGACGACGACGAGCAACGAGAGTACATCAGGAGTCGCTTACAGCTCCCTGAGGAAGAGTTATCTCAAACTATTACTAAAATAAGAGAAAATGTAATGGCTTTTCCGAATTATGAAATCTTGGGCATACCTCTACAAATTTATATGTTGACAGAATTGTTTTTACAAGACAAAGAAATATATCTGAATTTGTTGAACTACATTTTCACTGTTCTCGATTTGTATGAACACTTTGTCGACGAAAAATTTAGGGTTTTGTACGAAGAGAAAAAAGAAATCGTGCTATCGAATGAACAAAATGAAAACATTTTTGTGCAAGAAAAAGAAACTAAAATGAATTACTACAAACGTTTGGCTGCCAGCTCTTACATTTACAACTCATTTGTGGAAAAACTTTTCAACATAAATCGCAGTGTCGACAAAGAGGTTAAAATTTTTTTGGAAAAAATTAAAAATGACGGCGATGATGTAGGATTCATAACCCGGGTTACATCTAACGACGTCGAATTCGCCCACAATTCCTACGGGGAATATTTTGCAGCTCTCTATCTCTTTGAACATCGAAGTTCAAAAGCACGCGACAAGAAATTTAATTCGAACGGTCGTTATAACAATATTCGATTTTTTTTAGACTTGATGTTGACGAGAAAGTGTAAAGGTTTCGTAGGTGTTATTTACAAAAATTTTGGGATTTTGGGAGAACTCACTGAGGCAGATTTAAAGCAAAAAGATGTCATTGGTCGAGACATTTTGGAAGTGGCTTGTGCATGGACCAAAAATTACCCGATTGCGAAAAATAACACAGTTTTAAAAGATTCCGATTTTAACCCAGATTGGATGTTTAAAAATGAAAAGGTCGAAAAGTATCTAAGTTATCGTGACGTAGGGCCCAAATTTATCAAATTTAGTTCTTCCACTAGTGCCTGTTTTCAGAAGTTGCTGATTTTCTTGCCATTTTTGATTCCGTTGTATGACGGGAATCAGTTTGCTGATGAATATTTAGGAGTAGTTTTGTACTATTCAGTTAGGTTTGATTTTTCAATGATTTTTGAGTGCATCGAAAATTCTCTCCCGTTAAAAAACACATACAGTAATATAAGTACAAGGAGTGTTTTAGCTGTAGCTCTTGATAATCGATCGAAGAAAATTCTGAACAAACTATTTTCCGAAGAAAAAGATTACTTAGAATGGGACTGTGTCTTGGATTTACGGGTTTCGTTAATGGAAACAGAGAGAATATTTGCATTTATGTTAGAGTTAGAACAGTTTAAATTAGATGTTCCAAATTCGGACGGTCAGTTGCTGATACATTTTGCATCTGAGTACCGCCTAATTAAGACTTTAAGTTTATTAATCCTTAATGGTGTGAAACTGGACGTTCCGGATAGAAGCGGTCGGCTACCGATTCATTATGCTTGTGGCGATGCAGATGTAGAGACAGTAGAATTCCTGCTAAAGATTGGTGCGGAAATCAATGCTCCGGATAAAGATGGTCTCTTGCCCATTCATTATGCATGTAAAAATTTTCACTACGGTTTTACAGTTATAAAATTTTTGATCGAAAAAGGTGCTAAAGTAGATTCCCCCGACGCAGATGGTCGGCTACTGATTCATTATGCTTGTGTCAATGCCAAATTAGAATCAGTTGGATTCCTGCTAGAGAATGGTGCGGAAGTCAATGTTCCGGATAAAGATGGTCTACTAGCTATTCATTATGCATGTAAACACTCTTACTTCGGCTGGAGCATTATATCATTGCTGATCGAAAAAGGTGCTGACGTAGATTGCCCAGACGCAAATGGTCGACTGCCGATTCATTATGCTTGTGAACATGGATATGTGTCTGAAGTAGACTCAATAGTAGCTAATGGAGCCAAAGTGGATGCTCCGGATGGAAATGGTCGGCTGTCCATGCATTACGCGTGTTTAAATGACGCTTATTGGTACAAAATTATACCATTTTTGATAGAAATAGGTGCGAAAGTGGATTCTCCAGATGGGGATGGTCGACTACCCATTCACTATGCCTGTGAACATGGAAATCTAGATCTGGTGAAATTCCTTGTAACGAATGGTGCGAAAGTGACGGTTCGGGACGGTGATGGGCAACTGCCGGTGGATTACGCAAGTAAAAATGAAAACTTTGCTAAAGAAATCACTAAATTTTTGACAGAGCAAAATGAAATTCCGTAAGTCTAAATTATATAAAAATTATAACATGGTTCAGTTTAAATCGAAAACAAGAAAAATCAAAATCCATGCGGATGTTTGATATTGACAATGCATCAAAAGAGATAAAAACATAATAAGTTGTCTACATTAGCCTACAGATTTGGAATAAAATATTATAATATTAATTAGTTAATTGATTAATTACAAAAAAAAGGGGTTTTTAACACAAGAATATCCATATAAGGCTAAGGGAAAGCTAACTTAAACTATATGTCTATTTAAGTTAGCTTTTCCCATTATTTGGATGAAAAAAATGTTAGATGGTATGAGTGTGGGAAGTGTCCACATAAAGCTAAAGAAAATTCTCATCTTGGGCATTCCTCTACAAATTTATATGTTGACAGAATTGTTTTTACAAGACAAAGAAAGGTATTTAGATTTGTTGAAGGACTGTTCTCGATTTGTATGAACACTTTGTGGACGAAAAATTCAAGGTTTTGTACGAAGAGAAACCAGAAATCCTGCTATCGAATGAACAAAATGAAAAAAAAATTATCCAAGAAAAAGAAATTAAAATTAATTACTACAAACGTTTGGCGGTCAGCTCTTACATTTACAACACATATGTGGAAAAACTTTTCAAGATAAATCGCTGTGTCGACAGAGGTTAAAATTTTTTTGGAAAAAATTAAAAATGGGGGCGACTTCTAGAGGAATGTCTATCTCTTTTGCCACATGCAATATTGTTGTACAGAATTAACCAATTTGTATAATTTAAAATGTAGCTTTAAAAATCCTAACACTGTAAATATAGAATTAAAGAATTTGTTGGATTTTTTATGCTGTGTAATTATTATAATTTTTAGAATGTGAAAAAGGGGAGAAAATCGTAAATATGGGGAAAATCGCTGTCTGACCGCTAATTCAAACGAATTGTCAGACGAGAGACGTCAAAAAATTTTCTATTACAAGAGTTTGGTAGATCATTGACATATTTCAAAAACAAAGTCGTTTCTAACATTGATCTTTGAGGCACTCCACGATCAATATAACTAATTTTAGAAATTTTTTCAAATAAGATTTTATGATTGCTTTAGAGAATCCATAGAATTTTAGCTTGTCAAAACATAATTTTTTATGAAACCCCAAAGGAAACAATCAATGCGGTTCAAATCAGGCGATGTTCAAGGCCATCTTATTGGGCCCTATTCCCGTTTCTTACCTTCTGGGGTGGTGCTCCATATTGTTGAAAATATGAAAATACAAGTTTTTGACGTGATTCGACGGTAACTTATGTTCTTCCATTTGCCACATTTACGTAAATATTGCATATATATACATATATGTCTTTTGAAAATATCTTTTTTGGTGAACGAAGCTTCGACGCTTCAAATAATAATATTTTCAAAAAAATAACGGTTCTTCTTGCCGTCTTGTTAGTACCAAAATTTGATTCTAGCTGTCGGATGTCTTTATGGTACCATTTATGAAAAATATACCGAGTGTTCCATTAATAAAATGACGTTGGTGTCAATTCCGGTTCTACCGTAAGCTCAAGAACTATAGGTTTATTTTTACAAACAAAAAGTTACAAAGGTTGTATCAAATATCTGTCTGTCTGTCTGTCCAGTGTCTGTATCCACTTTTATTGGACAAGTAATCTCCGAAACTACTGACCGATTGTTGTTATATTTTGTACGTATATTAGGAATATCATGTAGATGGTTAAACGCTAACTAAAATTTGGCTAATCATCCCCACCATCAATGGGATGACGTCATTTCCAAAATTTATAACAAAAAGTTTTTTTAAACTTTACAAAATAAGATACGCCTGCACTTGTGGTGCATGAATCCGTGTCGAATTTTCACCCTAGACATCCAGAATTTTTGGAAAAAATTCAAAACTGAGTAACAATATTTTGCAATAAATGAAATTAATTACTCTATTCCAAATATATATTTTTTATTGTTCACCCGTTATTTTGTGCGATATGATAGATAAGATTAGATTTTTTTTAATATCGATTGCTGTTGCGATGAAGTCCTTATCGAACAGTTCACGACTAGTCAATTTTTACGTTTAATCCTACAACTATTATTGAAGGTAATTCAATAGGATGGAAACCGTAAGTTATAATAAATCATATAATATGTATATTTAACAATAGGTACATTATTTTCAAAAATATTTCAGACTGCGAAAAGCACAGATATCCACCAAGAGGATAACTCATCTGAAAATTCTGCCTCGGTGAGTTAGAAAAACGCTACTTCAAAAGTTGAGCACATGTAAAGTGTACCTATTATCAGTTATCACTGATAACATGATATGACGATTGTTTTTTTTAATGTTGATGTCGTCACCAAACAATTTTAATATGAAAAACTCACTAGAAACATATGCATACGATGCTTCTTTACTTGTACTGCAACAATCCACGCTAATACTAATCTTAGCTCATAGCGGTCACCATAAAAAAAAATAGAATCCTCAAAGTTATGTAGATGTGATAATTTTTCGAAGCTGTATTCGTTCGAGTGTACTTTAGAGGCGAAGAAAGTTTTGTTGAAATAACCTTAGACAATTTTTTTAATGGATGCGAAAGGATTTCGCAGGCCCTTAATGTCTTTTTTTCTTTTAGATCAAGAAAAAATTTCGGGGATCCCTACTGTGTTTTATTTATTATAGATGCGATAGAATCTCGGGGTCCGTAGTGACTTTTTCTTTAAGATTGCGAAAGAATCTCTGGGGATATTAATGTTATTTTCCTTCAAGATTGCGAAAGAATCTCAGGGGCTTCTAGTGCCTTTTTTTATAAAGACGAAAGAATCTCAGAGGTCTCTAGTGTCTTTTTTTCAAAATTACACAGGACTCAGGGGAACCCTAGTGGTTTTTTATTTCTGGATGCGTAAGAAACTCGGGGGCTCCTAATGTCTTTTTGATGTATGCGAAAGAATCTCAGGGGCTTTTAGTGTCTTTTATTATAAGTACGAAACAATCTTAGGAGCTTTAAGAGTCTTTTATTTATGGATAGGTAAGAATATCGGAGACTCCTAATGACTGTTTTATGGATGCGAAAGAATCTCGAGAGCGCCTAGTGTCTTTTCTTCAAGATTGCGAAAGAATATCGAGGGCTTCTAGAGTTTTTGTTCTTTAAGATTACGAAAGAATCTTGTGGGTTCTTAGTGTCTTTTTCTTCAAGATTGTGAAAGAATCTCAGGGTTTCTTCTTGTATTTTTCTTCAAGACTGCGAAAGAATCTCAGCGGCTTCTAGTGTCTTCTATTTAAGGATGCATAAGAATCTAGGGGGCTCCTAATGCCTTTTGTACAGATGTCTTTTTCTTTAAGATTTCGAAAGAATATCTTAATGTATTTTTCTTGAAGATTGCGAAAGAATCTCAGGGGCTTCTAGTGCCTTTTTTTTATAAAGACGAAAGAATCTCATGGGCCCCTAGTATTTTTTCTTCAAGATTACATAGGAATCTCGACGATCTCTAGTGTCTACTATTTATGGATGCTTAAGAAACTCAGGGGCTCCTAGTGTCTTTTTTATGGATGCGAAAGAATTTCGAAGGCTCCTAGCGTCTTTTTCTTTAAGATTGCGAAAGAATCTCAGAGGCTTCTTGTGTATTTTTCTTTAAGATTACGTAAGAATCTCAGGGACTTCAATTTTTTTTTTTATAGATACTAAAGAATTTCAGGGACCCCTAGTGTCTTTTCTTCAAGATTAGGCAGGAATCTCGGGAATCCCTAGTGTCTTTTATTTATGGATGCGTAAGAAACTCGAGGGCTCCTAGTGTCTTTTTGTTTAAGATTGCGAAAGAATCTCGAGGGCTTTTACTGTATTTTTCTTCAGGAGTGCCAAAGAATCTTAGGGGCTCCTTGTTTATTTCTATTTAAGATTACGTAAGAATCTCTAGGGCTTCTAGTGTTTTTTTCTTTAAGATTACGAAAGAATCTTGTGAGTTCTTAGTGTCTTTTTCTTCAAGATTGTGGAAGAATCTCAGGGTTTCTTATTGTATTTTTCTTCAAGACTGCGAAAAAATCTCACCGGCTTCTAGTGTCTTCTATTTAAGGATGCATAAGAATCTAGGGGGCTCCTAATGCCTTTTGTACAGATGTCTTTTTCTTTAAGATTTCGAAAGAATATCTTAATGTATTTTTCTTGAAGATTGCGAAAGAATCTCAGGGGCTTCTAGTGCCTTTTTTTTATAAAGACGAAAGAATCTCATGGGCCCCTAGTATTTTTTCTTCAAGATTACATAGGAATCTCGACGATCTCTAGTGTCCACTATTTATGGATGCGTAAGAAACTCAGGGGCTCCTAGTGTCTTTTTTATGGATGCGAAAGAATTTCGAAGGCTCCTAGCGTCTTTTTCTTTAAGATTGCGAAAGAATCTCAGAGGCTTCTTGTGTATTTTTCTTTAATATTACGTAAGAATCTTAGGGACTTCTAGTTTGTTTTTTATAGATACTAAAGAATTTCAGGGACCCCTAGTGTCTTTTCTTCAAGATTACGCAGGAATCTCGGAAATCCCTAGTGTCTTTTATTTATGGATGTGTAAGAAACTCGAGGGCTCCTAGTGTCTTTTTTATGGATGCAAAAGAATCTCGGGGGTTCCTAGTGTCTTTTTTTTAAGATTGCGAAAGAATCTCGAGGGCTTTTGCTGTATTTTTCTTCAGGAGTGCCAAAGAATCTTAGGGGCTCCTTGTGTATTTCTATTTAAGATTACGTCAGAATCTCTAGGGCTTCTAGTGTCTGTTTCTTCAAGATTGTGAAAGAATCTCAGGGGTTCCTAAAGTATTTTTCTTCAAGACTGCGAAACAATCTCAGGGGTTTTTAGTGTCTTTTTTTATAAATGCGAAAGAATCTCAGGGGACCCTAGTGTCTTTTCTTCAAGATTACGTAGGAATCACGGGGAAATCAAGTGTCTTTTATTTGTGGTGGCGTGAGAAACTTGGGGGCTCCTAGTGTCTTTTTATGGATGCTAGAGAATCTCGGGGGTCCCTAGTGTCCCTTTTTTAAGATTGCCAAAGAATCTGGTGGCCTCTTGTGTCTTTCAGCATATATGAGAAACGATCTTAGCAGTCTCTAGTGCCTTTTTCTTTAAGATTGTGAAAGAATCCTGGGGTTTTTTGTATCTTTTTGTTCAAGATTGCGAAAGAATCTCAGGGGCTTCTAGTGCATTGTATTTATGGATGCGTAAGAAATTCGGGAGTTTTTAGTGTCGTTTTTATGGATGCGAAATAATCTCGAGGGCTCCTAGTGTATTTTTCTTCAGGATTGCGAAAGAATCTCAGGGGCTCCTAGTGTATTTTTCTCTAAAATTACGTAAGAATCTCGAGGGCTTCTAGTGTTTTTTTCTTTAAGATTGCCAAAGAATCTTGTGGGCTCTTAGTGTCTTTTTCTTCAAGATTGTGAAATAATCTGTGGGGCTCCTATTGTATATATTTTTCTTCGAGATTACGAAAGAATCTCAGGGACTTTTAGTGTCTTTTTTAATAGGTGCGAAAGAATCTCAAGGGCTTTTAGTGTCTTTTATTTATGGATGCGTAAGAATCTCGGGGGCTCCTAATGTTTTTCGTATGGATGCGAAAGAATCTCAAGGGCTTCTAGTGTCTTTATTTAAGATTGCGAAAATTTCGGGGGCTCTTAGTGTATTTTTCTTCAGGTTTGTGAAAGAATCTCAGGGGCTTCCAGTGTTTTTTTTATAGATGCGAAAGAATTTCAGGGGCTTCTAGTGTCTTTTTTTATAGACGCGAAAGTATCTCAGGGGCTGACAACCACAAATCTGAATATTTGTCTACAGATCAGAATTCAGTTACTGACGTTATTTATATATAACTTCAAAATATATCAAATTTTAGACAAGAAATCTGAAATCAGGTATTCTATTTTTTTTCAGATGTTTAAGAAGAGACCTGGTACCACTGACCACGACAAACACATCTACATAGCTAACTTGCTTTTAAAACTAACGATTGATGACGACGTCGAAAACTTTCACTTGTCTTGGAATGACGAAGAATTTGGTTCCTTCGAAAACGTTGCAGTTGAAATTTTTTTCAAAAATCGGACGGAAACGTTCGCCTTTCAGTTGAAACACGTAGCCGGAAAAACCGCAATGATTGAAAAATTAAACTCACCGAATGAAGAAACGAGTGAAGAAAATTCGGAAAAGTTTGAATTTTTTTTCAAAAATGTATATCTCTGTAATGATCAACCAGATGTCGAGCAACTTAAAAAGGAAGTATTGGAGACACTAGAGGCACATTTCTGTTGTAATGAAACTGTTTTTCGTGACTACATAGATTTCATAACCCAGTGGAGTATGAAGCAAGAAAGACAATTCAAATTAGATAAAACATGGATGAAACACGTGATTGCCCTTTGCGTGTGTTCGCCTCTTACTAAATCGTTGTCCTTTCTTGCTGGTAAATCAGTCGACGATAAAGAACAAATTTTTCGAGAAGCTGTTTCTAAATGTGATTTGACTGTTATTGGTAACGACAATTTTGAAAGAATCGAATCAATTTGGTCAGATGCTATCGACGGTATAGACGATATGGAAAAAACGAGTAAAATTAATAACTTGTACCAAATTATGGAAAACTTGATAACGAGTAAGGAAATGCTTTACGCTGAGGATGCATCCAAAGTATCGAAACTCATGTGGTTGCTGGGAAAAACTCCGTTAATCGTTACAGGATGTCCACAAGTTTATCAAGCACTAAAAACATGCCAAATTAGAAATCTTATCGTACTTGATAATCAAGAAACGTTTAGTAAAGGCGTTGAAGGAATCACAAACAGTCAACAAAAAACTTTCCTGTTTCGAAAGTTATTTGAATTAAAAGAGCACACAAAGTTGTATCACGACATCTTAATGAAGTTTACCTATTCGTTGGAAGGTCAAAGAGAAATTGAGCTGAAATTCTTACAAGAAGTGTGCGATATTGACAATTTCATCACCACAGATGATTTAATTGAAATGTTGAAAGCTCCATTGTTAATTGGAAACCCAGAAGCTCTACCACCAAGTCACATCGAAAGAAAGTTGACCAAAACTTTAATAGACGTCAAGTTTTTGGAAACTATCGACGAAAATACAGTCGCTTTAATTGACTGTATGACAGACGTTAACTTCTTTCAACGAAATTTTAGAGACGCTTTTATTTGCAAAATAAACGAAGTTGACTCAATTCAGAATATACATCATAGCCAGAAGATTTACGTCTGCGAAAATCAAGTTTCACAAGAAGAATTTACTAGTTTGTGTTGGAAAAATCCAGGAACGCAATTTCAACATTTTAAATACGTGGACAATCATCTCTTGGAGTGGGTAGGAAGTGGGAATTATGACCCCAAATGCGGATATTTGAAACAACTTGAGAACTTTCGTCTACGCAGTGAATTCATGGAACATGACATCGACGAACGTCAATATTTTAGTGAATCGCGACAAAATGTTAACATTATTTGCGCCGGTCCTGGTGCGGGAAAAAGCACACTAATGAAGAGTTTGAAAAGTAGGACTTCCTCATCAAAATGGGTTGTTTTAATCAACGCTCAAGATCTTGGAAAAGTTGCTTCCGACGTGGACATCCTGGAAGTTACTTGTCAAAAGTGTTCAAAGCTTTTGGACCAAATAGTGTTCAAGACAATGTTGGAACAAAATCAAATAGAAGTAGTTTGGGATGGACTCGATGAAGCGTCTGACTCCATTCAAGCTACCATTGTAGCTTTAGTGAAAGCTCTTTCGCAACGAGGGGTCAAGCAATGGTTAACTTCCCGAAACAACTTGAAAAATGTGTTAGAAGAGAACTTAGGTACTTTTTCACGAAGTGTGAAGCAGTTCAGTGACGACGAACAACGAAACTACATCAAAAGTCGTCTACAGGTACCCGAAGACGAGTTATCCGAAATTTTCAGTAAAATAAAAGAAAACATAACGACTTTTCCAAATTATGAAATTTTGGGCATTCCTCTTCAACTTTACATGTTGACAGAATTGTTTTTAAAAGATCAAAAAAAGTATCTGCTTTTGTTAGACGATATATTTACTGTTCTCGATTTGTATAGACACTTTGTCACAACAACCAACGACTTCTCTCACAGTTCGTTTGGTGAATATTTTGCAGCTGTTTACCTCTTCGAACACGAAATGTCTAAATCACTCGACAAAAAATTTATTTCGGACAGTCGCAACACCAACACCCGATTTTTTTTAGATTTGATGTTGACCGAAAATCGCAAAGTGTTCCTAGCTGTTTTATATAAAAACCCTTCGATCCTGGGGGAACTCACCGATGCAGATTTAGAACAAAAAGATGCGATAGGTCGCAACGTTTTAGAAGTAGCTTGTGCCTGGACTAGAAACTATCCAGTTGTTACCAATGAAACCCTTTTAGTTAATTTCGGTTTTAACAAAAAATGGATAATTAATAACGATCACGCAAAAGTCGCCCAAGATTTAAATCATCGCGATTTGAAGTCAAAATTTGATCAATTTAGTAACACGTGTTTCAAAAAGTTGCTGCTTTTCTTACCATTTTTGATTCCATTGTATGACGGGAATCAGTTTGGTGATGACTATTTAGCAACAGTTTTATACTATGCAATTAGGTTTGACTATTCGGTGATTTTTGAGTGCATTGAAAATTGTCTTCCTTTGAAAACTACATATGAGGATGATATTAACTCCAGCAGTGTGTTAGCGTTGGCTATTTTTCACCAATCAGAGCGAATATTGAAGCTACTATTTTCCGAAGAAAGCGATTATTTTACTTGGGACTGGGTGGAAGATTTGTGGACTCCAGAAGTAGATTTTGACGAACTATTTGCTTTAGTGTTGGAGTTGCGAAAGCTTGAAATGGACAGTCGAAACTGGAGAGGTGAATTCCTGGCGCATTTTGCTTGTCGGAAGAATCTAATCAAAACCATGCGTTTACTAATTCGTAAAGGTGAGAAAATTGACGCTACAGATGACGATGGTCAACTGCCGATTCATTATGCTTGTCAATATGGGGACTTAGAGATGATACAGTTATTGGTAGCCAATGGTGTCAGTCTGGATAATCCTGATTACCACGACCAGCTGCCCATGCACTACGCTTGTAAAAACCGCTACAGTGGATCCATTATTATACCATTTTTGGTAGAAAAAGGTGCCAAAGTGGATTCCCCAGACAGGAAAGGTGGACAACCGATTCACTTTGCTTGTGAGTATGGAAATTTAGAAGAAGTAAAGTTGCTGGTAGCGAAAGGGGCAAAAGTGGATGCTCTAGATGGAGATGGTCAGCTGCCCATACATTACGCTTGTAGAAACTGGTTAACTGGATATCGCATTGTACCATTTTTGGGACAAGCAGTAGATCGTCCAGATGACGATGTTCGACTTCCGATTCACTACGCCTGTGAACATGGTGATTTACAACTAGTAAAGTTACTGGTAGCGAATGGTGTCCGAGTGGATGTTCCAGATGGAAATGGTAAGCTACCCATGCACTACGCATTTAAAAACAGTCTGAGTGGCTACAGCATTATCCCATTCTTGAAAGAAAAAGGTGCAAAAATGGATTCCCCAGATGGTTTTGGTCGACTACCGATTCACTGTGCTTGTGAAGATGAAGATTTAGAAGAAGTAAAGTTATTGGTAGCAAATGGTGCCAAAGTTGACGCCCTGGATGGTCATGGTCGTCTACCCATACATTACGCGTGCAAAAATCCCTACAGTGGATACAATATTATACCATTTTTGATAGAAAAAGGTGTCAAAGTAGATTGTCTGGACGGAAATGGTCAACTGCCAATTCATTACACTTGCATATACAACGATTCAAAGGTACTAGAATTACTACTAACAAACGGTGCCAAAGCAGACGTTCCGGATGGAAATGGTCGACTACCCTTGCATCACGCTTGTCAAAATTGCTCCCACGGATACCAACTCATGTCACTTTTGATAGAAAATGGTGCCAAAGTGGATACTTCAGATGAAGATGGTCTGCTCCCGATTCACTACGCCTGTGAACATGGAAATTTAGAAAGCGTAGAGTTGCTGGTCGCCAATGGTGCCAAAGTTAACGTCCCGGATGGTCATGGTCACCTGCCCATGCACTACGCGTGTAAAAATTCCTGGATGAGGGACAGCATTATATCGTTTTTGACAACACAAGGTGCGAAAGTAGACATTCCTAATGACGACGGTCGACTCCCGATTCATTACGCTTGTGAAGGTGGAAGTTTAGATGAAGTAATGTTGCTGGTAGCGAGTGGTGCCAAAATTAACGTTCCAGATGGAAATGGTCGCTTACCCATACATTACGCGTCTAAAAATCGTTTCAATGGGGACAGAATTATACAATTTTTGATAGACAAAGGGGCGGAAGTGGATGCGCCAGATGGGGATGGTCGACAACCCATTCATTACGCCTGTGAACATGGAGATTTAGCGATAGTAAAGTTACTGGTCGATAATGGTGCGAAAGTGGATGTTCCGGATGGAGATGGTCAACTACCTATGCATTACGCGTCTAAACTGTCCCATTCTGGCTACACCATCATACCATTTTTGCTAGAAAATGGTGCGCAAGTGGATTCCCCGGACGGGAATGGTCGACTACCGATTCATTATGGGTGTGAACATGGAGATCTGGAAGTAGTAGAATCACTGGTAGAGAATGGTGCTAAAGTGGATGTTCCGGTTGGAACCGAACAGCTACCTATACACTTCGCTTGTAAAAATCGCTACAGCGCACACCCTATTATATCCTTATTGAAAGAAAAAGGTGCAAAAGTAGATATTCCAGATGGGAATGGTCGATTACCAATTCATTATGCTTGTGAACATTGCCCTTTAATTGTAATAGACTTACTATTAAGAATGAGCTTGAAATTGGATGTTCCGGATGGAGATGGTCGACTGCCCATGCATTACGCCTGTAAAAATTGCTTTGATGGGCGCAATGTTATACCATTTTTGAGAGAAAATGGTGCAGAAATGGATTCCCCAGACGACGATAATCGGCTGCCGATTCATTATGCCTGTGAACATGGAGATTTAAACATGGTAAAGTTATTGGTAAGGGGTGGTGCTAAAGTGGTCGTTCGGGACAATGAGGGTCGACTGCCGGTGGATTATGCAAGAAAAAACGAAACCTTTGCAGAAGAAATTGTTACATTTTTGACGAGGCAAAGTGAGAATCGATAATTGTGATATATCGTGAAATTTCTTTACTTTTTGACTTAATTTAGTATTTTTTTGTACATTTTAGCCCTTTATGACTTTATGAAATGAGCTGCCTCCGTTTTGTCTTTTGAAATTGTGTTGAAATAAAATTAGTCTGTCACAAACAAATGAATATCACAAATTTTGTCGCACACTCAGTATACAGTGTGTGTTGGCGCACTATGGATTTCAGCAATCCAATTTCTAAGCACTTGTAGAGGAATGTCTACATATATTTCGCCATATCTAATATTTTTACACACTATTATCTTTCTTTAGCGACTTTAGAATGTAAATATATTCCTGTTAGACAAATGGTTTGCCATCTTCCAATACATCCAACTGTTTGTTTTAAAATTTTAGAACTACTATTTTTGCTGTATCATCGAAAATGTGTAAAATTCTTTATAATGTAAATGTAGAATTAAAAAATTTGTAAGATAATGTTGAATGATGAACTGAATTATGTTATACAGTGTGATGATTATTATTGTAGGAGAAATTAAACGAAAAAAATGCACAAATTGCACAAAATATTTTATGGGGTTATGGTGCTAGTGGCGGTCGATTTTAGTGAATTTTTATTGTTAAACGACGAATTAATATTACTTAATATTAGTATTTCGCCGGAAGTTCTCACTCGAGTATTTGATTTAAAAAAAGGCGAGTCAAATTGTGTATCGAAGCTCATACAATTTTACATAAAATTTATTTTGATACGTTTTGTAAATAATAAGAAATGTAGGTAAGTAAAGATAAACGTATTATTAAATATATATATTTTTTCTACCGCCCACGTTTTTTGGTTTTCTAATAGAGCTATTAACGCACGCAAATGACGTCACAGCAGTTCGTTAATAGCTGAAAGGCGTTCTTTAATAGATCTGGTGTAATTTAGATCGGTAAGATTGGTAGCAATGACGAGAAATGTCAGGTGAATGTCAGTGGCAAATCTAAACTTAAAATTTCCCACGCTTCCGGACGCGTAACTTCTTCGCAAGACATTTTAACCAATTTTAAATTAGAAAAACTCGAATTGATTCGAATTACAATTGTTGTTGTGAAAATTCGAACCTCAAATATTTCGTGGTTAGTGTCAGACCAACTCATCACCAACCACGACAAAAGTCCCCAGATTAAAAAAAATGCAAATTTCAATTAAATTTTGGGAAAAAACGTGTGCGGTAGAAAAAATAGTATAAATAACTCGTTCATAAGGCCATTGAGGCACTCATCCTTTATATAACTCGCGGCTTCGCCGCTCGTTCTATAAACTTGGATTCGTGCCTCAATATTTGCCTTATGAAACTCGTTCTTTAATATACTATTTTTTGTGAGATATAATAGACAAGATTAGTTTCATTTTAAAATATCGACTGCTGTTCGGTTTAAGTTTGTATCCGAGCAACTTACGAGTAGTGAAGTTAATACCCTAAATAATTGAACCGTTCATCCTACAAGAATTAGGTAGTTTCTATCGGAATTCGTCATGGCAACCGTAAGTTCTTATTAATCATATATATGTATTTCACAATAATTTATTTGCAATATTAATTTGTTGAGTAGAGCACGAAATTATTTTAATGGGTCCAGATACACAATTTGCTAAAACATGGGACAGAATATTATGACATTTAAATGTACTTTTAAGTCGTAATATTTTATTCACTTCGCTTTATACATTAGTGTCACGTCATAAATGTATACAGGTAACATGAGTTCTCTCCCGTTTCCGTCTGTCTGTCTGTCTGTCTGTCTCTCCAGATTTTTATTAGGTAGTTAACCTTCGAAACCACTGGACCGATCGTTGTCAAAATTTGTATGTAGATGTGAAAACGCTAACCAGAATTTGATAAATCATCCCCGTCTCCAATGGGATGACGTCATCTCCAAAATTTATAACAATATATTTTTTTAATTTTATAAAATAACATACTTAGGCACTTGTCTATGTTGAGATTTCACCCTAGACATCCAGATTTTTGGAAAAAAATCAAAATTATGTAACAACACTTTGGAACTTAACTTTGAAAACTACAAAACCGAATGTTCTGAAACCTTGTAAATGTTTTAAGGTTATCGTAATCGTCTAAATCGTTAGTCAAAATTTACTCGTTTTGTCCCCTCTCAAAAAATTGATGACGGCACTTCTGAATTTTGCCTAATAAAGCATTTCTAAAATATGCAAAATATTTTGACTTTATACTTGTGGTATATCAATGCACACATAGTTTTTATAATTACTTATATAGTGAGATTTCAAAAAAAATGAATGAGGCTATCTATTGCATTCATTAAATCAAAAATTTGGAAATATAGTACTGTTATTATTGTAATGGAAAATCTCACTTGAAATAATAAACGCGTAGCGCGCTTCTTGACCTTTATTTTAACATTACATACATTTTAACTTAAAGGGTTATGATAAAAAAATTAAATTCGCAAAATCAAATCTTATAGTTCTTCGAAAAATTTACCTTCGACGAATTTTTTCATATCACAGATTTTACAATTTTTTGATCTCACAATGTTTCGTTTTTTCAACTTTCATTATCCTCAATTTTAAATTTTTTGATTTTTCAGTTTTTCAGCAGTTTCTGAATTTTTAATTTTTCAATTTTTTGAAGTTTTATTTCCTCAATTTTCGTATTATTGATTTTTATTCTTCATTTTCTTGATTTTATATAAAAATTTTTCTTTTTTCCATTTTCTTTATTTTTTCAATGTTTCTTTCGATTTTATAATCTCTCGTTTATTCAATTTATCAAATTTTCGATTTCTGATTTTCAGATTTCTTTATTGGCAAAATTTCGACTTCACAATACATATTTCGTTTTTTCGATTTTTGAATTTTTCGTGTCTTCAATCTTTCAAATGCTTGTTTTTATATTATGCTTTTTCGTTTTATCATTTTCGGAAAAAATTGAACCACTGAAAAATTACAAATCGAAAAAATTAATGAATCGAAAAGTTGAAGAAAGAAAAAACGAGACGGGTCGCAAAATAGGAAAACCCAAAAATTGTGAAATCGACATATGTACCACGGAAAAATAGAAAAATTATGGAGAAATAAATGAAAAAGTTTTAAAATTCAATAAATGAAAAATGAAAACATTCTAAAATAGTAAAATTAAAAAAGTGATTTTTTTTTATTACAATTATTATGTATTTAAAATGAAAACTAGAAAATTGCAAATTGAAATTGAAGAAACGAAAAATCTAAAACTGAAAAAATGAAAAGTTATAAAATCAGAACATTAAAAAACAGAAAAATTGCAAAAATAAAAAAAAACAGCAAATCGAAAAGATCTAAAAACTGCAAAATTCGAAAATTCAAGTTTTTACAAACTAAAAAATTTAAACTTAAAAACTCAATAAATTGTATGTTTAGATGAATTTTTTAAAGAATCTTGAGGTGGCCTCATAAATTGTTTTAGATAGTAGCAGACAGATATAAACATTTTGGTCAAAATTCATTATCTAATAAGTATAAAGTAATTTTAAGCTATAGGCAGAATTTTAGGCAGGCAGTAAAATTCAGTGAGAATTTAAAATTGCATATTCATCAAAAACACTTAGAAGATGCCCTCAGTTGACCCTAACATACTTTTCAGACGTTTAAGAAGAGAACGGGTACCACTAATCAAGGTAAAGACTACGAACACCTTTACATTGCTAACTTAGTTCTAAAATTAATAATTGATGATGAAGTCGAAAGTTTTGATTTGTCTTCGAATGACGATAAGTATGGATGTTTCGATGACGTTGTAGCCGAAATTGTTTACAAAAATCGTACGGAAACGGTGGCTATTCAGCTAAAACATATTACCAAAACCAAAAAAAATGGTCAAATATTAACCTCATTGGTTGGTGACTCTACAATCGAGAATTATGACACAAGTTTCAAAGAAACGGAAAAGTTAAAGGAACAGTTTGTCAAGATGATTATATTTACCAATTTTAAGATAAACGTTAACAACTTGAGTAAGTTCAATTATGGCAAATTAATGGAATACGATCAAGGGAGTTTGACCGGCGTTTCACAATCGAAAGGGATGTGTTATTCATTCCAAGCAAGTGGAGACAATTTGAAGAAATATGAATTATTTTTCAAAAATTTGTATTTCTGTAGTGATCAGCCAGATGTCAGACAGCTTAAAAAAGAAATATTTGAGACACTAGAGACACAATTTGGTAGTAATAAAAGTGTTTGTCGTGAGTACGTAGATTTCATAACTCAGTGGAGTATGAAAGAAGGTGAAAAGTTCAAACTGAATAAGACATGGATGAAACACGTGATAGCCCTTTGCGTGTTTTCGCCATTCAGCAAACCACTGTGCTTCACTGAGGGTAAGTCTGCCGACAAAAAAGAAAAATTTTTTAGAGAAGCTGTTTCCAAACGTAATTTGTCTGTTATTGATAAAAAGAACTTTGAAAAAATCGAATCAATTTGGTCAGATGCTGTCGACGATATAGGTGATGTGGATGAAATGAAAAAAATTAATAACATGTATCAACTTATGGAAGACCGGGAAATAAATAAAGAAAGTCTTTACGTTGAGGATGCATCCAAAGTATCGAAACTCATGTGGTTGCTGGGGAAAACTCCGTTAGTCGTAAAAGGATGTCCACAAGTTTATAAAGCAATAAAAACATGCCAAATTCGAAATCTTATCGTACTTGATAATCAAGAAACGTTTAGTAAAGGCGTTGGAGAAATTAGAAACAGTCAACAGAAAATTTTGCTGTTTCAAAATTTATCTGATTTAAAAAAGCACACAAAATTGTATGACGATTTCTTAGTGGATTTTACTTATTCGTTGGAAGGTCAAAGAGAAATTGAGCTGAAATTCTTACAAGAAGTGTGCGATATCGACAATTTCATCACCACAGATGATTTAATTGAAATGTTGAAAGCTCCACTGTTAATTGGAAACTCAGAAGCTCTACCACCAAGCCATATCGAAAGAAAGTTAACGAAAATTTTAATAGATGTCAAATTTTTGAGAAATATGGATTACAATTCAGTTGCTGTAATCGACTGTGTGACAGATGTAAACTCTTTTAAGCAAAACTTCCCAGGTGTATCAATCAAAATTATTAATGATGTAGACACAATTCAAAGTACAGTTCAAAGTCCGACGATTTATATTTATGAAAACGAAATCTCAAAAGAGAAATTTGATGCTTTGTGCAAACAGAATGTAAGAACACAGATTCATTACTTTAAATATTTGGACGATCATCGTTTGGAGTGGATAAGAAGTGAGAATTGTAGCTCGAAACGTGGATGCTTTGAAAAACTTGATAGGTTACGTATAAAAGGTGAATTTATCGACCAACGTCAATACTTTAAAGAATCGTGGCAAAATATTAATATTATCTGCGCCGATCCTGGTATGGGAAAGAGCACATTATTGAAGAGTTTGAAAAGCAATAGTCCT